AGAAGGTAGCATGGTTTCAACTGCAGGTGGTGACATATATGAGGATGTTAAAGCTAGGATCGAAAAGCAAGACAGGTTTTCATTAACCTAAAATCAGTGTGGAGATCTACTGTACTGCACTTCACTCTAAAAGAAGTTGTCTCTTTCACCTACCTAGGCAGCATGATTTCAACTAAAGGCTTTACAGGCACAGATAAGGACGTCGAAGCCAGGATCGGAAAGACAGCAAGACAGGCGTTCATTAACCTGAAATCAGTGTGGAGATCTTCCGCACTCAGCATAAAGCATGAACAAGATCCGTGTTTTCAACACTGATTCAATCAAGTCGGTGCTTCTGTGTGATGGTTAAGAGACTCGGCGCGTCACGAAAAGCATTTCCAGCAAACTACAGACATCATACATCAACAGCTGCTGACTGCGCTCACTCGATACTGAAGATCAGATGGCCAGAAATAATAAGCAACGAACCGACCATGAAGTCATTGCCCAACAAATATACATAAGTAAATGGAAATGAATTGGATTGGGCATACACTGAGAAGAGGCTTTTGGGACATCATGTGCCAGGCCAGGCCCTCGAGTGTAACCAGCATCGGAAACGACGAATGGGTCGTCGCAGCCCAGGTCGACATGGAGATGGTGTGGGGAAGAGATAAAAGCTTGAACATTTGAGTTTTTGTCTTCTTTGAGTAGGAATGATATCATTTCCTTTGCTAATTAAGGTTCGATGGTTATGTATAGTGCTGTGACATCAAAGGATATCATTAACTCAACTATCACAGCGCCATACACATCGGTCGAATCTCAATTGGCCAAGGAAACGATACCATTCCTACTCAATGAAGACAAAAACCATTCAGAACGCACAAAACTCAAATGTTCAAGTCTGATGGAACTCATCGACCTTTGTATGACAACATACTTCCAATTCAAAGGCAAGATTTACTGACAGATGAAAGGAACTTTAATAGGATCACCGATATCCGGACTAACTGCAGAAGTAGTGATGGAAAGACTGGAAGACATTATTCTACCTGTCATAAAACCTAAAATTTGAATTCGCTATGTGGACGACACTTTTGTCATCATTAAAAAAAATGATATGGAAAACACCTACAGTTTGATCAACAATGTTTTCAATGACATCAAATTCATAATGGAGAAAGCGTCAAACAACCAACCACCATTGCTGGATGTTCTAGTCAGTAGAACAAATGCCGGAAAGCTGGAAACCCAAGTGTACTGGAAGCCAACACACACCGACCAAATCCTCAACTGTAATAGAAACAACCCAATGACACACAAAATCAGTTGCGTGCAGACTCTATCCAAAACAGCGAAAACACATCGCATCACAACAACTTCACGGAGAAACGAAGAAAATTACTCGATGTCCACTCTAAAGAAGAATGGCTACATACGAAACTTTACCAGAAGATGCTTATCCCATGCATCATTAACTACAAAGTCATTGACAGAAATCGACAAACGCTTTGTCCTACCATACATAAAGAATATATCAGAAATCACGACAAGATTGCTGAGACCACTTGGTGGAATTGGCGTGGCTCATGAACCAACAAATTCTCTCCACACACTATTATGCAGACCAAAGGATGCGACAACCAAAGAAGACAAACCCAATATCATCTACAAAATCAACTGCAATAACTGTAGTCAGCACTATATTTGACAAAGCGGCCGCCCTCTTCGCCTTCGTCTACGTGAGAACCAATTGGCTATGAAACGCCACGATATTTCGTCACCCATTTCAATGCATGTGGATAGCTATGGACATGAATTCAATTTCGGCAATGTAGAAATTTTAGACGAAGAGACGAAACACGAAGAATGTGAGAGAATTCCTAGAAGCTTGGCATTCAGGTCAGTCAACAATCAACAGATGTAAAGATGTAGACCCGATCTATCAACCAATACGAAAAAATGATAAACCGCAGAAAGGTGAGAGGTCAAGCAGAAGAACAGCCAGCAGGAAAGCCTATACAGTCAATGACACAACAATCGAAGGAAACAACCAATCACAGACCGTATCGTCAGATCAAGCCATTAAATTACTCACGGAGAGATACTGACAGCCCGCTTCATACTGAAGGTAGTGCTGATGATGTCGTCTAGGAAGACGATGAAAGCTTCACGATTAAACAACCCAGCTCAGAGAACACAATACAACCAAAAGACTAAAGGTATTCTGGTTGTCCTAAAAAGAGTGAATATGGCTACCTTTTAAGGGGGACATGAGTAGAAAGTTAAGTACATTAACGTTATGTTAAGACTATGTATAACATAATTTGACCAGATCGGATAACTGTAAACATTGTGAGCACTCTATGTTTTCCATGTTTGTATCATATTTAGCCGGTACGTGAAATTTGGTGTGGAAATTCATCCTCCGTTCCCACTCTAAGTGTTATCTAACAATTTAATATTATATTTTTTATAATTGTAGAACTTAGGCACTGTGGTAGATTGTAATTCCACCTTACATAAGTTTGTTTAATATTCAGCATATAATAATTACTTGCCTGGTAACATTTTGAACACAAATTATTGCCTATAATAATGTCTGTAGTCACACCACTTTCAATATCTGATTTTAAACCGTATATTCTTTGCTGTTATGGGCAGCAGAATTTTCATTATCTTTGTCATAGGTGTTGTGTCATTCTTATTAAATGTAAAGGTGTTTATTCAATGAACGAAGATTGCGTAATCAGTCTTCGTATACCTAATTATATCGCACGTTGGTACAGTACACTAAAAGAAGCGTTAACAATTATTAATTATCCTCCACCGTTGATTAAGGAGTTCATACGAACATATAAAAAACTATTGGAGTTATATGAATACAAGCGACAAGATGAGTTGAAATAAGTTCAGACCCTCTTCTGTGTTATCATATAAGAAAGAAACACTAGAAACTTTACGTAGGATACCCGAGAACGCTGTAATTAGAGTAGTATTTAAACCTTCAGATTGACTCTAAGATAGGCATTGTCGGCTTAAGGATCCGATAGAACAAATTAGGCAAAATAATCTCATTCACTAGATTCCATGCAACGACAGCAAGGTCAAGTACAAAGGTCAAACTAGCCGATCAGGGCCAGTTAGATTATCTTAACATAGGAAGTTAGCTAAATATGGAATGACAAACCCGAATAAGATCAGTTACCTGGGAAAACTCAGCTATTGCAATGAATGCATTAACATACAACCACAGAATTGGGTGGGATAAAGCCGCTGTACTTGATTCCAACAATACAATTAATTGGAGAGAGAGACTGGTCAGTGAATCTTTGCTTATCGAATCATTACCCAGCCCATATCTCAGGAGTGACACGATACATATACCAGAGATATGGAAAAGTTTATTGTCAGTTAAAGCAGAGAATATGAAGTGACAGGACTGCAAAAACCAGATTTCGGAAGTTGTACGATTACATTGATGTGATTATCAGTAATAATTTATGCTCGAACCGTCATCAGGTAAATACTAATGTAATAGTGTGTGCTATATATCAAACAAACAAATCTAAACCGTATTCATATTTTTTAGTCTGCCGACTTAATTTGTCTTTAATGAATTTAAAATGTTGGATTTTTATGAAAATTTTTTGTTTAGCTAGGAAATCTGGTAGTCCTAATGTCAACGGAACTTCTCCAACACTTTGAAGCGAAAGACAGTATACCTCAATGTCACGTCACTTGTCTTGATAGCCTTGATTGTTAGATTTCTGTTTGCGCCATATACTTTATGCGAAACAGCTACACCAGATGTCTTAATATGATCAATTTTGCTAATCTTGCTAATGCACATTAGTTCTTTGTGTCTCAGCAGATACATTTTCGATAATGTAATAGCCACATGGATCAGACATGAATATGAAACTGGTCATTAGTAATTTTAAAGTTTTGTTGATCCTGAATACCCACTGTGTTGGTTTAAGCAGCTGTAAAAATGATATTACACAATCACTGCAAGTTTGCTCCTTTCCCTAACCCACTGAGGTTCTGTTGAAGGAGTGGTAATCCTTAACGTAATGACAATTTCTTGGATGCATGAGCAGAAAAGTGGCGATGATGAGGAAAATGTTAGATCAAAGAATAAACTGGCGGACATGTGTGAATAGATCAGTTCGAGAGGGACGACAAACCAATGGTACTCTTTAAGTGAGTCACAAGGCAATCACATAAATCATGAACTATATGTTAGCTTCACCTTCTCATGTAGGTTCACAAGATGGGACTGAAAGTGAAATTACAAGCTGTAACTACGAGTACTTAGGCTTGAAAAGCAATGCAGTCACACAACAAAATGCTGGTTTAATAACACTTATTCTTCATGGGAAACAAATCCACAGTAAAATGATTTCAATCAATAATTGTCATCAGCTGTAAAACATACAGAAACTGAGAACTAAAGTGCTTTTTTGTCTTGCTGCGATAATATTGGTCTTTAGTGTAAGACGGTAGTCTACATACAACTCTGAGGTTGTATGGGGAACGTCTTATCATTCTGTATCTAGTCACATTTCACAATTCTTTTATTTTTAATTGCAATCTATCTACAATATATTAGAAATAGAAGTACACTTTGTCACTTAACACCTACTACGAGGAATCTTACAATGTTATTTAATAGTGTACATGAATAGAATAGAACTACCAGGCTAGAACAAAATCATGCGATAAAAAAAAGAACTTATCGGTTTTTCGTTAATTCTTCATCTGATATCCGTTTGCGATGAAGTGCATATAAGCATCAGTTCATGGTTATATACTGGTTTAAATATGATCGTGTGATGATGCAGTTATAATTTTTGAAGTTGTACTATTATTATTATGTCGTGTTGAATATATATATATATATATATATATATATATATATATATATATATATATACGTATTGTCAAGAATGTAGCTGTTGTTTTCCTTTTTCCAGGGATTTTTGGTACAAGCTACCTATTAAAACTTTACAATGCACGTTTCTTAATTATAAATTATAAATTATTCATGTATTACAATTTCACACTGTAGATTGATTTCTCTTCTGTAATATTCATGACCAAAATGAATAAACTTGAAAGAATATTGTTGTCTATATAAATAAATTGTATTTATATGTTAAGTAAAAATCTGGCCAATTAGGGATACAGTCATGAATTTCGTAAGTTTTGGGAGAGCACATAGAAGTATATCATGTGCATTACTGCATACATATCTATTTTTTTATGGATATTTTATCATACACATATATCCTATTTTGATATGAAGGTATCTGAGAGGTAATCAGACAAACTGATAAGTAAGTTATATATTTTAGGTTCATCAAGTTCACTGTACTGGCTTCAACTTTCATGCATTTCAATTACACTCAAAGCTATTTAGGAAATTATTTTTAATTTAGTAATTATAGTGGTACTTGTTTTCAGTGAGAGGAAGTAAGAAATAAATAATTAAGTAATAATAAGACTATTAACACGAGAAATATATGGGAAGAGGCAAAGTTGTTGTAGATCATATTCAATAAACCAATGAGCAAAGATTTCAAAGTAAAATAATACTATTTTATGATTTTAGCAAAAAAGAAATAATGGAAGGCATAAAGTAAAATGAAAGAGAAATAATTTTATATACATAAGTCAGTTGCCATTTCTAGTTTATTTATCATGTTTCTAACACTGCATTACAAAAGAAACTAAATTATTGAGAAGGATACATTTATAATCTTGATATGCAGTTGTGTACGTGACATTTCGTTAGGATATATGGTGAAGAAATAATCAATCTTATAGTAAGAAGGAAACTTGATTGCAACAGATCGAACGTTAAATGGTATCAAACTCGATTGATACTTTCAATGAATCGACCGATATCTTCTTCAGTACCTGTAATTTTAGCACGCTGATAATTGTTCCACAACAAACCTGTAACATCGAGCACAATTAAATCACTGGATATTTTACTGACTGCTTGCAATAAAAATATTCCATCACATCCTAAATTATTATTCACAAATCTAGCACATTCCGTTTCTTCTGTATGAGAAAGTTGTTTTAGGGCTTTCAAATATTGGCGGATAAAATGTACACGTCGGTAGGGTATGCATAATTTGGTAATCCATATAAATGTATTGAATACTGTGAAACTGGCCAAGATTATATACCAAAACCATAAAAACACATAGACTTTTTCAATGAAATAATTGACTGGAAGGACACATTGTAGAGTATATCTATGAAACAAGAAAACAAGAAATAAAAAACCTGTCATCAGTAAAAAAAACAAGAACAAACAAAAGTAGAATTACAAACAATAAGTTTTATTTCGTTTTTATCTGTTATCCAAACTTTTATTTCATGATGTACTTAAGAACTGACTCTTCAACTTGAGACTATAGGATTCTCTTTGAGAGAAAGATCGTCAGAATTCGAACCTTTCGAGTTCGGAAAAGATTGTATTAATACAGCGTCCAAGGCCAGTGGTCAGCAAGTTGCATTGTGGTGACAAGTTAAAAAAAAGGTATTGAGTTGATTAGTCTTCTTGAATTTAGATTATTTTGACTCAATTTCAGTGTGCTTAAAAAACAGCGATTCGTCTTTTCACCAGTTTATGTGTTGGGTGAAAAAAATAACCATTGGTAAACGTCTATGGTTTGCGTACTAAGGATAATATAATAAATAATAGCTATAAATTAACTTTGACTTTAGCTTCACTGTATGATTCATTTTAGCTTCAGAATTTACCAATGTAATGTATATGTCTCATCTGATAAAAGTGACTTTAATTTAAACAAAGTGGGACAACTAAAGGGTATTAATCCAAAAATTGTGAAGGAATTACGTAATCAAGATATTTTATTATGCCAGTAACCAAAATGCCAAAAAGGTCCAAAATTATTTTACTGTTAGTAAAAGATGCTGAAGATATCAGACATTCAGCTGATAATACAGCCATTGTATTATTAGTGGCATGTCATAGCAATCCAAATCTTGGTATTTCCAGGTTAAGGTGATAAAAATCAAACTACTATTTAGGTATTCGTTTACACCACCTAAAGCTATGAAAATCTTTTATATTCTTCTCGGAAGACTACAAGAAAATATTACTCCCTCCTGATCTGTGAAGCAAGTTTCAGTGATGTTTCTTAAAGTCATGAGGACAGTGTAACTAATCAAACACTAAAACTAATAAGACAACGATAATACGAATTCATTTGACAGAAAGCAAGATAAAAATAGGCTTTAACAGTGTGAGTAAGAAACTCATTCAATTAGCAGATAGAGGGGAATATAGTAATCACTTTGAAACAAATCCTGTAAACTTATAACAAAATATTTCACGGATTTCAGGCAGTTCAACCTATTACTTGTGACAATATATTAGATTTGAGTCAAAACAAAAACTCAGCTGCAAAGGCCTTTAGTCCTGAACAGTAACCTTTACAGCACTTTTAATTACCATCAATTAAAATCTCAAATGTAATTTAAAATCACTTTCGTTAGACTTTCGTCACATTGAAAAATCATTGAATATCCGCCTCATAATAATTCTAACGTAAGCTAAGTACGTTTTGTCACACACATACACGCACACAATGAGTCCAGGTTATTAGATAATTGATTATCACTTCATACATGTAGGTTATTTAATCTCCTAGTTGTTTAAGGAACCTCGTTAACTTTCTAAATTAGATGAAATGAGACTGTTTACATAAAATGTCTGGAACACTAAAAATCTAACTGCGGTTGCAACAAAGATTTCGTTGAAAAGAAAACTTTTACTTCGTTACAACCGCATTTTGTCTTTTCCTGGAATCAAAAATCCAGAACTATGTGAGAATATTCCTCACTATCAGGAAATCTTCAAAAATCAACCGACCATTGTCCCATGTCCTTGAAACTAGATAAAAAAACTATATGAAGAAATATGTTCACACAATAAAAAGGAAGACTTAAAATTCGCTGGTTAACAATAGTCGTAAAATAAGCAAGCTCATTCGTAAAATCAGAAAAGAAGCTTGTTGATTCATTTAAATTACTGCCAAATAAAAATTTCATTCAAAGAGTTTTCTTCATTACCTGTACAAACATATTTATAGGATAACAAACAAGTGGGTCTGCCATCAGCTGACAAGTCAAATTTACACTATCGTCATCATCATAATCATCATCAAAAGGGAATGTTCTGACAGAAACTAGCAAGGCGGTTCTAGAGTGTGAAATATATCATGAAATCAAAGGATGGGTAGAAAATATATGCGGTCGATTACAGTGATGGCAAATAAATCAGTAAAGTAGTAATAGTAATAATTAGTAATCGGGGTAGAATTTGGTGAGAATCTTTGTTATAAATCAGAATTAGCACGTATAAACGTAGGGATGTAGATGATAACAAGCAATGTCACCAGAGTTATTCAAACAGTGTAGGGTAGATAAACCCGATGTCCATAATTATTTTATAGTGCCTTTTGATGTGATTTTCTTATTCATGCAGGTTTATTTTTTTGAAACTAAAGAAATTGTCCCCCAGAAGGATTATCTCCTTGCTCTATCTACGCCTACATCAGGAAGCATTTGATAGACGAGTAGATCAAGCATGAGTTGATAATTGTACGGTTAATCTTGAGCTGGTAAACCTCAATTAGCAATTAATGAAACTTGAGCCCACTATAGGTACTTCAACAGTATATTCATATTGTATCAGGATCAACAGAAGGAATCTAATCTATTAGAAATCTTCTGTAATGTGCATGAAAACATTGTTTTTCACAGTGGAATACAAAGATAATAGTAAGTTCAACTTTCTAGACGTTGGTATTCAATGAAAAACGTGGCGCACTTCTAAGATCTATTCATCTCAAAGGCATAAGAGATGGCCTCCACCTAATTACTCAAGGTTTCTCTTACTTTATTACATGACTATATTTTCATTAGACTTTTGGTTCACATAGAATTCCAATTCAAGTCAACTTAATCTACCATCTACTTGCAATCCGTTCATTATATTTTACGATAATAATATTTATATATTATACTATATAGTCAGTATTATAATGTTATATAGTATTGGTAGCCTGTGAAACTTATCAGCAAGAATATAAGTGGATTACGCTGCTCACATATTATGGGCTGCTTAGCATAAGCATCAACACGATTCTTACTCCTCATTTTAAGTCAGAATACATTGAAAACATGAAAATCTACTTTTTTTTTTCTTGAGTCTTCATGTTTTGTTTAAGAATCCAATCTGCCTCAAAAATTTAGTGTATGAAAGTTAGTCAACAAATGTTATTGAGACTAAGGTGTGACTTCATCAGTCATCCAGTAGACCAGTTACTCTACTATTTGTATTTTCAATTGTTGCTTCATTTTTTGTGCTGTGATATGGATAATCCTATAAGCTTGGGGAAATAACTGTGCGCTTACTAGTTTACTTGAAAATAAAAGTATACCCATTCTCTGAAAAGCATTCACGAAGCGTGAATCATTTCACATTACCTGACATGATGTTTAATGCATGATTTCTCCGTACTCTTTTTAATAATTCATAAATCAATGGCACTTGATTTTACCTTCAATACATCGTATCAGAATACGTGGCAAAGTTTCTTTGCTTATTTGTAAAGAGTATAGGTTTTGTAAAATCAAAGCATCTCAGATAAACAGTTGTGAAACCTTACATATTCAGGCTATGCTTCTATAGTGTACCCAGTGCAAACGTTTTATCCCTGGTTTATTCAGAATCGCCTGATTTTTTTACATATCCATTAACGGTTTGCATTTCCACCCGGATGTCTTCGGTTTTCATTTGAGTCCTTCAAACAAATAGAATCATTCATCGATGAAGAGATTCAGTGAGCAGATCTGTTTTAAAAACGAGTAGTAATTACGGTAGTCGTACTGTTCTAGAGTGTATGAAACAACAGATCTGTTGGCAGGGTGATTAGTCATGGAAGTCGTAGATAAGGTACGAATTAGAAATACAAATCGACTGAACAAAAACCAACAGTGTTTTGTCATATTTTGAAGTAGTTCGTATTACTAACACTGACCAGCCAGTGGTTATAAATGATAATGGAAGAGCACATGCACTGTACTGGGTCTGGTTATCTTGAGTGAGTAGATCAGTAGACATAATCCAAGTTGTGAACTATCAACTCAAACTTTGCTAGTGGCAATAGCGTAGATGTACTCAACTTTAGACTCCTAAGTAAACCAAAATGTCCTTTCTGAATTCTACTGGTAGCCATCAAATAATACAATCAATGTGGAAAGCGTCTTCCTTCAGAAAGTCAAATTTAGTTAGCTAGTCTATTTGAGAATTCGAAAAAACGTCTTGGATCAAATAAACTTAAAGAAAATCAGAAAAGTGTGAGAGTGATTTTTAATTTTAAGTACTTTAAGCTCCCTCTTTCACGTTTCTCTCCGAAATAGGTGGTATAAAAATGTTTTTCAAACTAACAAATGTATCCTGTGAAGTTTATTCAGTCGCTTGTAATCATACTTATTAGCTGAAACATAAACATTGTAGCCGGCATCAATAGGTCTTTAGTTCTTGTTTAAATCTATTATTTCCTGTTTCATTCTCACTCTTCCTTGGTTTTGCCCAAAAATATATATATATCCACCACTTTACACGTGATTTCTTCCCACTTGCTTTTCTGATTTGTACGAAATATCAATAATTTTTTGTTCCATGAATTTTTATTTTAACCTTTGTGATTTTCATCCTTAACTTAAACTACTTCACTTCCCTTCTCCCTCTTCCTTCATTTTTTCTGAGACAGTACTAAAAGTGAATGGATGAAGGACTTGGTGTGTAAACTAGGTATTCTGAAGGAGTACCAAATAAGTTAGTGTCACAAATGACTTTGTTCAACTTTTCTGCATCTCGTGTATTTACACAAATATATACACGCATGCAAACAACTTAGTATCAAAGAGTTGGTTTAAAAACTCACCTCTGTAAGATTCTATATTTCTGAGTTCTGTTTTCATAGTGAAATCTTTTGTTCTCCTTAATTTTTTTTATTTGTTTTCATATAAATCGAGTATTTCCAAAGGTCTTTACCTTAAAAAGCAACATTATTACCGAGACATAATGAAGGGAAGTACTAAACGGATTAAAGTGATGTACATATATATATATATATATATATATATATATATATAACATTAAAATAATTGTACAGATTTATCAGTAAGTTATATTTTAAAATACGCAGTAATAACG